TTGAAATAATAACCTAACTTTAAATTTTGCATTTTCTCAATCCTACATGTGCTAGATTGTACACATATTGTTATAGGAGTCCATTTATAAAGACAGCTTAAAAATGGACCAAACATTTAAGAAAATATAGAAAGGTAATTTGAATGTTACGCATTTTCCAAATGGGAGATTTTATCACTTTCATCATCATAGTAATAGTGCCTAACGTCCTTTCATGTCTATACCACATTTTATTGTTTTATCCCTCCTTTCAACACATGAAGTAGATACCAGTTTTCACCTGAGGAAAATAAGGCGTGGAGAATAGTTTAGTTCCACCTCTGGGTGCTTTCCCTCTGAACCACACTTACCAGGATGCCATTCTACTCATGCACATATGAACTATAAATCACACCGGATTACAAGGCTTTCAAGATTTGTGTAGCTAGGTGCTATAACGCTACCCCAAACAGCTGCCTGAATGAAGAGACGTGTACTTGAACATAATGCTTTAAAAAGTATATTTCATGAGATGGATTGTCTATTTTATATACAATTAGAATCACTTTTATTTCATAGGACTGTAAAGTGATTTTGAATACAAACTAATATTGGGCAAATAGTGAATACCGTTCAATTGTAGACACCAATTCAGAAAGCCGCACTGTGAATTGAGCACCTATGCCTTCATGGTTTAAAATGCTGGTTTCTTATGCAATGTGGGACAGTTCTTATTTCCTCTGAAATTTCGATTATTCATGTATTTGTTCCTTTTAGTTTTAGCATCACAAATAATTCTGGCTTGGAATTAGAGATCATGCTTTGAGGGCAGGAAGAAACTGGCACGTCATATTGGAGTTTTGATTTATTATATAATTATATAATTTGTTATATCATATGCTCTAATCTTATAATTTGGACTTTAAAAATAATTTTCTGCTTTAAAATTTCTCAGGAGGTCTTTCTTCAGACTCCCTCATTCACCTTTAGAGTCATCAGCAGAGCTTCTAACTTGTTGGCAAGTGAACCAAATCTTTTTCTCTCCCTGAATTGTGTTCAGAGTAATTTCAAACACTTGCCTTGCAGGGGAAGTAAACTTCTCCATTCTTGGGGAAAACTGTTCAACTAAAAGATCTGACCGTGTAATTCTCAAATAAGTTTAAAGAATTTATGGCTTAAATGAATATAAATTCTCATTTACCTTTTACTTTGAGCGTGGCTACTGTTTTCAGTTAATAGCATTTTGTACATTAATTGCTTCCTTCAAATTCCTGTCAGCTTTATAGTAGGTAAGTGATACTTCCTCAAACCCCACTCTGTTATGCATTTGAAGAAACATAAAAGATCAATCTAGGTTTTCCTAAAGCTCTCGTTCTAGAATATGAGTTTCTTAATTGCTTTATATTTATATCCCTAGACATCATTTCTGACTTTTAGACTGTTAACCAAGAGAATTCAAGATAGTCTTTATATGTCTAGATTAGTTGGGCATGTTAAAGACTATGTATCTTCCATCACAGAAACCAAATATCTTCAAATGAAATAGAAAAATAAACAGGTAGGGAAAGAAGAAATAAAAATGTCTTCATAGTGGATATGATCTTATATTTGGAAAATTCTAAGGAATCTATAAAAGTCTACTATGATTAATAAGTGAGTTTAGCAAGGTCATAAAATACAAGGCCATTATTCGAAAGTCAATTATATTTCTATATTCTAGCAACAAACAATTAGAAACAAATTTAAAAATCAGTACCACTTACAGTAACTTGAAAAAACATGAAATAGTTAAAGATAAATTTAACAAACTATAGCTACAACTTTGCACTGAACGTTGTAGTGTATTACTAAAAGAAAGTAAAGAAAATCTAAATAAATGAAGAAATGCACCATGTTCATCGATCAGCTCAATATTACGATGTCAGTTTTCCACAAATGGATCTATAGATTCAGAGCAATCCCAAATCAAACATCAATGGACTTTTAAAAGAAACTGATGAGCTGATTTTAAAATTTATATGAAAATGCAGATAACTTTGAATAGTCAAAATAGTTTTGGAAAAGATACACAGAGTTGGAAAATTCATACCACCTAGTTTCAAGAGTGATTATATAGTAATCAAGGCAGTGTGGTATTCCCACAAGGATAAATACATCAATGGAAGAGATTGGAAAAGTCCAAAAATCAGCCCACAAGTATCTAGTCAATTGATTTTCAACAAATGTGCTAAAGTAATTCAGTGGCAGTAATGAATAGTCTTTTCAGTAAATGGTGTGGAAACAACTAGTTATCCATGTGGAAAAATAATGAAACTCCACCCTTACTAAACATCATGCATGAAAATTAATTTGAAAGATATAGACCTAATATAAAATCAAAATATTAACACTTCAAGAAGAAAAATAGGAGAAATCTTAGCAATCTTAAATGGGGCAAGGATTTCTTAGATAGGAAACAAAAGGCACATATCTTTTAAAAAGGTATCAATTGGACTTCTTTGAAAGACACAATTAAGAAAATTAGGAGGTAGGGGTGCCTGGGTGGCTCAGTCCATTAAGCGTCTGCCTTCAGCTCAGGTCTTGATCCCAGGGTCCTGGGATCCAGTTCCGCATCAGGCTTCTTGCTCATTGGGGAGCCTGCTTCTCCCCCTGCCTCGCACTCCTTCTGCTTTTGCTTTCTCTCTCTCTTTGACAAATAAAGTCTTTTTTTAAAAAATTAAAAAAAAAATCAAGAGGTAAACCACAGACTGGGAGAAGAAAATAAATAAATCAGAGATACACAGATAGTCTTTGTATGTGTGTATATAGCTATGTGTATTTATTACATAGAGTATACATATATGAAGATATGCATCCAGAATATATAAAGAACTATTACAGCTCAATAATAAAAAGCTGGACACCACAGTTTTTTTAAATTGGCAAAATATTTGAAAAGGTATTTCACTGAAAAAGATATATGAATGCTCAGTAAGTGCATGAAGAGATACTTAACGGCATTGGTCATCAAAGCATTGGAAATTAAAATCATTATAAGGTACCATTAGCTATTCAGTAGAATGGCTAAAATTTTAAAAGACAATACCAAGTTAGGATGTAAAGCAACTAATTTTCCTGCATTGCTGGTAGGAATATAAAATGGCACCACCACTTTGAAAAATAATTTGGCAATTTCTTTAAAAGTTGAACATACAATACCGTAGAACATTAATTACACTATTAGTTATTTGTCTAAGAGAAGTGAAAATTTATGCCCCCACAACGACTTGCACAGAAATGTTTATAGTAACTTTGCTCGTAATATCCAAAATCCAACTCAGAATAGAATAGCTAAACCAAATGTAGTACATCTGGTACAATATTTCATTGTAATGAAAGGAATGAATTACTGATACTTGCATCAGCATGGATAAGTCTCCAAAACATGGTGAGCCAAAGAAGTCAGACACTATGATTCTGAAACTCTAGAAAAAACAAATCTAATATGGGCCCAGGGTGAGGATGATTTACTAGAAAGGAAAATGGTATATTTTAAGTTGATGGAAATGTGTATCTTTATTGATGTGGCGATTACAGGTTATGTTTGTGAAACTTATCAAACTGTACATTTAAAATAGATGTACTTTATTATGTGTAAATTATACCTGAGTAAGGATGAAAATTATAGAATTTATGAACTCTACTTATACTTGATTCCCAAAGGAAAATAACTCAAATGATAAATGAACACCCAAGCATAATTTCAAAGTCCTGTTTGGAACTACATAAAAGTATTGCTATAAAGACAATTCCTAACATCTGAGTATAAAAATTTTGACTTTTAGTGCATTTGTACAATACGGTGGTGTATTTCATTTAAACTTATGATCCAATACAGCAACATACTATAATCAGAGGAAAACATCAGTTAAGTATAGAAACACGACTAAACAAAGAGTCACATTGAAAATAATGAAATTAAATGATATATAGAAACTAAATCATGTGAACTACTCGTATTTTTAGAAAAATAGAACTATATGGTAGTGTGAAAAGATGTTAAGTGAATATTAATTTGTTAAGCAAGACACATAGTATTGATGAGGTTGTATCATAAGTGACTGCAGCTTGCAATAAGTGAGTGCCTTCCCTTGTTTTTACTTTATACGTTTTTTATTACAGTAATTGATAAGAACATATATTTCCCTTTGTCCCTTTATTTCTTGTAACCACACCTTTCCTCATAGCATCTTTCTCCAAAACTGAATTTTCAAATTCATGACCTCTCCTTATTTTAGTTTTTCTTTTTAACAACAAAACCAAAATCTGTATTTGTTTCCTCTTCTTTTTCTTATCTCCAAAGTTATAGTAAGTTAGCAGAAGTTAACACCTCTTTATTTACCCACCTGAGGCATGCTATTCCTCAGAATGTTTTTGAAGCAGAGTTTGCATTGTAAAAAGGACAGTATTACGGAAATGATTCTCAAGTTCAATTGTACAAGAAATTCTGAGTTTGCTTCCACTTTGTAGGGCATCAAAAATGTGTGAAGTCCTGTGGAATGGATTACATCTCTTTTGTCTTCTCCCAAAGTAATAATTTTTTTTTTAAAAGAGCAGCATGCAAGCAGGGGTTGGGGGGTTGGTGGGGTGGCAGAAGGAAAGGGAGAGAGAATCTTCAGCAGGTTCCACGCCCAGCGCCCACCGGAGGTGGGGCTGATCTCAGGACTCTGAGATCATGACCTAAGCGGAAATCAAGAGTCAGATGCTTAACTGACTGAGCCACCCAGACACCCCATTTTTTTATTGTCCTTTATTTTTCCCCTTTCTTTTCCTTTAGGGTATGTCTACAATCACCTGTTCAGTTGCTCAGCTAACCTCCCCTTCCACACAGGCATACCATTTAGAGTATATATGTGATATTAATTTCTTGAGGCTTGATGGACTGTGAAGAGCTATCAAGCTCAGTGCTTTTCTTTTTTTTTTTTAGCATTCCTTTTTGCTGGAGAATCCAACTATATTAGTCTCCTTTCACCTTCCTACAGATTTGTTATTGGGCGAGAAAAGCCAGGACAAGTGAGTGAGGTTGCCCAGTTGATAAGCCAGACGCTGGAACAAGAAAGGCGCCAGAGAGAGCTGCTTGAGCAGCACTATGCCCAGTACGACGCCGACGACGATGAGGTAAGTAGTGCGTGACAGCGTCCTTCCTGCCTTTCTCCCCACCACGTTCTACTTTACAAGACTCTCTACCGTGTGAGAGTATGATAGGTTCTTTGCAGTTGCTCATGGAGAGCGTGTCTACATTCAACCTCACAGAAGGGAAATACTACTTACATCTGTTACTAACTAATGAATCAAGTAATGGTATCCTGTTTATAGCCTGAAGACTTTGGGATCAAATAAGTCATGTTTTACTGCACTATTAAAAGAAATTCACAGAAACAAAAAAAGTAAAAACACCAAGATGTGAATAGTAGCTGTCTTTATTGTTGGAATTTGGTGATTTTCTCTCCCTGCTTTATATTTTTTTGATTTCTCCCCCAATTTTCTACAGTAAGTTTGTAATGCTTTTTGAAAAAAAAAATCAGTAAACATTTTGATTGAAAAAAATGCACACATACATACACAAACACACACAGAAAAGTACTAAAAATTGCTGGGTATTTTCAGGTTTCTTTTTTTCCAGGAGGAAAACATTCTTTAGATCTGCTCACTGTGATTTGTGCTAACATAATGCAGAACAAAGCTTTTCCACCGGCACATATTCCATAGAGTAGATACATATTGGAGTAATTTTGCATCCTGCTCTCTGTAGAAGATCAAGTAAATGAATAGAAGCTAACCCCCAAGTGAAAATGGCTCTCTGGAATCCTTGTGTGTTGTAATGTAATACAGATGCTGGTCTATTTCTAATGTAAATGCCAAATGTACATTGATATAATGGGACAACATGCTTTATTATAAACATGTTTAAACACGCATGTGTTTCATATTGGCATGTCAGAAGACCCACCAATAATTTAGTCAGAGTATTTCATACTCCATAAACATAGTCAATATTCAGGTAAAACATATATTATTTATACCAGCTGATACAAGGACAGTGCACCTTCATACGTTCAACCTCTACTCATCTGAATATATTCTTCTTCCAGAGCTTTTTCTTGGACTCTAGCCAGGACATAGTGAAGATTAATAAATAGACATTGAGATACTTCCATGTATTTTTAGTCTGGAATGTTTTAACCCAAATGTATCTTAATTTTTTGTGCGTTGGTAGTTTAGTGTTTCTTCTCCATTTATTATAGTAAACAATTAAAAATGGTGCATCAGTTAACTTTTGATCGGAGAATAAACGTTACAAAGTCTTCACGTGAATGAATTTGTCTCTTAGAATTCTGTTTAGTTGATTTAACTTTTTACTTGCAGAGTCCATTTGAAATGGCAAGGTTTTTTTTTATTATACTGAGATATAATGTATGAAAATGTTACCTTGGATTTAGAAATTAAAAACAATTTCCTCAAATATTTAAATGTTCATCTTAGTCTTCAGTTCTCTGTGCTAGTGTTTTGTGTTTTATCAGAGACACTGATTTGCTTTGGCTGCAAGCCTATTTTTAGGATTGTAGAATCATTCTCTGCAGATTTGGTTTTTACCTGCTGGTTCTGCTAGAAAGAATTTGGATGTGAGATTCGGGGGAGTTCGGGTGACATCAAGTGGAGGAAGGCGAGGAGGCCAGGATTTCCCAGTCTGTGGGCCTCAGTGTCTTTGGCTTTAAGAGATTGGGCTAAATTTCTGCACTCTTTCTAGCTTTGAATATTCTGTGAGTGTGTGAAATAAAACATCAAGTCTAGCGAAGAAAGAGGGAAAATAAGACAGTTCTTTAAAGCTCTCCAAGTGAAAATTTTAGATCACCTGCTACACAGTACATACTTCTTCCAGTTATTTTGAGGAATTGATTACATTCAGTTCCAAAAGTTTTCAACTCAAGCCCCTAAAGCTTTTTGTTTGTTTGTTTGTTTGATGTAAGATTCTAATTTAGTAATTTGAGTCAATGCAAAATGAATATTTATTACTCAACTTTTATACTTAGGAGCACATCATATGGATTTTTTGTTTGTTTGTTTGCTTAGTTTTTATGAGGAAAGCAAAGTTGATTGTCACCTGAGCAGATATTTTCAGAACTAAGAAAGGTAAATAAATATTCAGTGCCTGGCACTTGGCAAGGTACATTTCCCTACATGATTTCATGTAATCTTTACAGCACACAGAAAAGATTTTTTTTTTCTAGTAATGACGCAAACGAGGCTTTTCCTAGTCATATAGCTAGTAGTTGGCAGATTTATGATGGGAATAGGGTCTTCCTGTCTCCAAAGTTGGGACTCTTTACAACATATTGCTGTTTTTGAATGGAGTGGACTAATGGGTCTGTCTTTGTTCAGGTACCCACAGAATAACTGGGTGACGAGATGTTGGAAAGAGGGTTCCTGTGTTAGGTGATGGAATGATGGAATTTCTTGTAATACTTAGGTTCTGTGATTCTTTATTCAGTATTTCTAGTAATACGGGAATTAAATACTTAGAGAATTATTTTATTCTAGGCAAATAATCTGTAAGTATCCTATGAAGATAGGGCTTAAAGGGAAGAGTAATTAAGTATATGATTTTTTTTTTAATTCAAGTTTAGCGTTACGTTAAACTTTTTTTCTCTCTTCAAGTTGTAGAGATAGAAATCCAGAAATAGAAATCAGATGCTCACTACTATGTTATTCCATGTAACCTTCACTTTACTGAAAAGGTCAAAGAACCTTTTTCTTTGTTTCTCTCTCATGCTCCTCTCTGACTTGTAGTTCTCTCCCTTTCTTGTGTGTTGCCAAAACACGCTCAGTTAAAACCAACTGTTAATATCTGTGCATAGGAGAGATGAAAGCTGTACAATAATGAAAATTCACTCTTGTATAAACACTTTATTTACTTGATTTAAATTCATTTTTTTACTAATGCTACCAAATATTGTTAAATCAATTTGAGTGGTAGGTCTCTATTTTTTATCTACTCTCTTTCTCTCTGTTAACGAAAAGTAAAATGTAAGAGACATAATGGAGGTGAGAAGAACCAATAACCATTGGTTATCCAATGGGTAAATGATCCTTGAATAACTGAGTTAATTTTATATGTAATTCAACAATGTATTGATTTATGTATCTTTGTTAATCCTGAATTGTGTAATCAATCACGTGGCTTCTCACTTTTCTTATCATTTATGGAATCATTTTGTGATTTCAAAGTTAGAAGCCTTTTTATTTCACAGTATCCCCTATGACATTCCCTGGGCCCCTAGGAAAACCTCTAATTACATGCAGAACAACTAAGTTCATCCAGCTAATTTCCAGAGCCAGTGCTTAGATCAGCATTATAGCTTCTGGTTTTGGTCAAATCATCCAAGGTTGATTCTAACTTGGAACTTGTCACATTGATAGAGGGGAGTTGCTTGCTTGAACTGCCCATGGGGAAAACATTGCAATGTTGAGAAATATATCCTGAAATTGTAAAAGTACAGTAGTTCTCTATCAAAACCATATTCAGGAATAAGAATACCTTATTATGTATTGTGTGTGCTTACACGTAGCTTGTTTTAATGCTTTAGGACATTATAAGTTGTACTCCAATAGAATTTAAGATATATAGATAATCCCCAGACTCTATTTAAATTTCTACACTTTCTGGGTTCCCCCCCAAATATTTAAACTCGAGGAGTTTACAATAAGCAAACAGTCAAATCAATTTTAATTTACATTCCTGTTTCTGTTTACTCTCTGTTAAACATTGTGATTTAAAAAAAAAAAAAAGTTAAAAGGGCTCTGCCCAAAGGCTGAAGAATGAGGGGAAGGATCCTGTAAAGAAGAAAAAGATTAAATCTGAGCAGTTGAAACATTTAAGATGTAGATCTGAATATATCTCTAATTAGCGATTGCATCTCTGGATAATAGAATTATTGTTCATTTCTCTTTCTTTCTTTCTTTCTTTCTTTCTTTCTTTCTTTCTTTCTTTCTTTCTTTCTTTCTTTCTTTCTTTCAACAATCTGGAAGGTAACGTTGGAGGATTTTAGTAAGCCCCTCACATAGTCAGCACTATCCCACGAAATTCTGGGGGTATAGTAAATTTTTCAACTAGATTTTAATTTTCAGTAACAAATTTAATCTGTCATACTCCACAGCTATCAATGTTTAGCCTTTTAGTGGTGGGATGTTGTAATTCTGGCATATGTTTTGTGTAGCATGGGTCATGTATATAAATTGTGGGTATATGTTTCTATCCAAGATCATTATGCAGTGTGAAGTACAGTGGGCTCACGCTAGAAATGAAGTATGACCTGGTGCTATACCACTTTTTTGAATTAGAAAATGCATATGGTCATTCACATTAAAATAAACTATTTTACATGCACTTTGAAATTATAGGATTATTTTGATTTGCTTCTTTAAATATGCTTTTAAAATATGATAATTATTACATTTTAAAGTCTTAGATTATAGATGGCATATCAAAGTCTCTTCAGGTAATAGTTTATAACAAGGTTAATCATCACTCTAGAGACTGAGGCCCCTTCTCTTAAGACATAATTTAAGCTCACTTTCATAATTTTTTTCATTACTGGAAATTAATATAATTATAACTATATCATGAGAATATTAGCTTTTAGAATCTTTTAAGGTATTGAATATTTAGAGCAGCTGCCTACCTGGATATGTATTTTTATTGCTTGTGTTAACATGTAATAATTAGAGTCAGAAATATAATGGAGCTATGGTTTGCATAAGCGTTAAATGGTTTATAAGAATATAATTTTTAGGCAAAAAGCATTAAAGGGATAACATTAAATTTGACTCATGCTGTTTGCTGTTCCTGGTTGGAAACAGCTTGTGTTGTGGACAAGATATTGCAATTATTATGAATGGCCTTTTAATAATGTGAATTGACTTTATACTCTTCATAATGTTGAGAAACTAAGAGTGGAAGGCATTCTCTCAGTTCTCAAATGTGTGTATTCTAGCAGGCACCGGAACTTCAGTGTTTTTTCTATCCTTTATCATTAGGCTGCTCTCTTTAATGGGGAAAAGCCTTCTTTAATTTGTGTTGTCAACCATTTTAGAGCACTGTGGCTGAATTGCAAGGAGTG